GAGTAAGCCTAAAACTTCGAGTTAGAGCTAATTAAGTAATAGTAACACCAGCATTACTGTGTTATATTGCACATACCACCCATCCCAGGCTGTGTATTCAGTGTTAAGTGATCTTTATGTAATATCTCACTTAATCACCATGCTACTCCTATTATATATTATATAGATGAGGCACAGAGACAAGGGTTGGGGAGTTAACTGTTCAGGGTCATAAGAGTAACAAGAAGTGGAACTGGGATTGGAAGCCAGGGCTACATAATTTGTTGAAGGCTGTGCTTAGGAATGTCTTTGTGGAGATAAAGTTAAACATGTCTTGTGCTACCAAGCAGTCCAGAGCTTTATTGCAAGCTGTGTCCACACCCTCACTCTGTCTATGTGGGCAGTTAGCTGGGTTGCCTCCCTGACTGGGAGTCTGGTGGCAAAGAGAGTGGTTGAAAGAGTATTCCACAGATGGATCCCAGCAAGCATTTGTCTGGTGCTCTGTGGTATTATTTATTAGGTTATTTGTGTGTAGACAAGATCTTCTTAACTCATAAATCCTTGTCTAGTCCCCAGAGATAAGGAAATGGCTTGAAATTAATCATGGGGTGAGAGAGAACTGTTTACTTATGCTTCCGTCTATAAATACCAAAGTTCAAGGATTGACAGTGTTGAGCAGCTATATAAAAGCCAGTGGCACTATGTTAGAAATTTGGCTTTGTTACACACACCCCGGGTACAGACTTAACTTTCTCTACACATCTGTATACAATTCAGAGCACAAACTAGGCCAAGAGCCAGAGAGAGGACGTTACTTTTTTGTACTGTTTCTCTCCCTCTCAGGCACAGAGTGAGGGTAAAGAACAGATTTCAGGGATCATATCAACACAGTGCAACAATAGTAATAATCGTATTGACAAAAAGAACCATGGTGAACATTTACTGAGCATTTACAAGGTGTCAGATGGGAAAGTCTCCCAATTGCCCTACAAAGCAGGCACTGTCACCTCACCTCAGAAGTGAGGAAAATGAGGTTACTCTGGAAGTAACTTGTCAGATTCAACTATGATGTGGTGGACTAAATCCTTCAGTCATCTGAAGATCAAGTGCCTGGGCTTCAACATTATGCTCCCTGAGGAGGCCAGCACCGAGGAAGGTTTCCATAGGCCTGGTACCAACACCAGCCTGCCACCTCCCGACTCTGCTACCAACACCCCTTCTGTCCTGGGGGCTCCGCTGTACTAGCCCTACCACTCTTCTGTATACCCTTGCTTGCAATTGCATCACCCTCTTTTTTAGGCCTGTATTCCTGACTCCTCCCCTCAGGCTCAGTTTCAATCCCTCCAGCAGGAGGCTGCCCTGCCCCATGGAGCTCACTTGGCTTATACTTTTTCTGGTGCTCCATCACTCCCTAAATCACACTGTCATCTCGTCTGACTCCACTGCTTGACCCTCTGTAGTCATCTAACTATCCCTAGGCTTCTGTGGGGGCTTCCAAATCATACAGTACATTTACATGCACAGCAATGGCTCCCCAAACAGTGTCAAATAAACAAGCAGGACATTACACAGAGGTTGAGAGCTGGTCAGACTGCTTGGAGTCTTTGGACTCTGCCTGGGTTTCTTAGTCATTGTGTGACTTTGGGTTTCTCAGTTTCCTCATTTATAAATTAGAAATAACCTCCAGTATTTCCTAGTCTTTCCCCTGCTTATTTTACCCCTCGGCCCTTCTCATCAGCACTCTATGTTTGATATGTTTGTCATTCCCTCTCCCTTTTGTTTCTTCTTTTCGTGCTGGAGATTGAACCCAGGGTCTTGCAAATGTCAGGCAAAACTCCGCCACTGAGCTTTTTTTTGTCTTTTTGAGACAAGTTCTCCCTGTGACCCCAGCTGGCCTGGAACTCACTATGAAGACCAGGTTGGCCTTGAACTCACAGATCTGTCTGCCTCTGCTTCCTGAGTGCTGGGATTAAAGGCGTGTGCCACCATGCCCGGCAAGTCTTTAGATTTTTTGAGACAGGATTCACGCTGTAGCCTAGGCTGGCCTTGAACTCATGATCCTCCTACCATAGCTTCCTGAGTGCTGGGATTACAGGTGTGCCACCATGCCTGGCTTATGTGCTTATTTCTTGCTCTCTCCTCACCAGAATGTTACCTCATGAGGGCAAGGGTTTCTTTGGGGCCGGTGCCTGGCAGGCACACACACGTGCCAGTGGTTATACCCTATAGCTTGCTAACAAGCTGTTTCCCCTGGACTTTTCCTCAGCCCTGCTCTGTTTAGGACAGTTGCCAGCTCTCTAGCCAGGGGAGCAGAATCCACCCTAACAACATTATCCAAGGGGGACAATGGGGGCTATCCAAGTTGACATTCATCTGGAGCATGAAACAGAGCTAACCATCCCAGGTTCATGATGGAGGGAACTATGCCTCCTACTCCAGCAGTTGTCAGTTTGAAGCCTGGTCCCTAAGTCTGGCATAGTAGAGTTGACAGAAATTACCTGGTCATTCATAGTGTTTACCCCGTCTGGGCCCAGGGCTTCGATGGCCTGGCTGATGAGGTCTGTCCTCCCACAGTTGAGCATGCGGAAGCCCAGGTCTTGGTTGAATCTTTCAGTAGCAGCTTGGGCATCCAGCCTCCGGAAGGAACTGAAGCAGCACTCAGGTCTATCCAGGAAAGACCAGGAGTCAGATGAATGTGACTGTGACATGAGGCTCAATCGAGCCTAGCCAGCATGTGGAATAGGATGGCTGGGTGGGGAAGGACTGGGAATTATGCTCAGGTCAGCTGTGACTGGCCTCACTATGTTGTGTGTCCTAGAGAGCACAAAGGTGTGCTTTCCTATACATGGGTTAAGACAGTACGCTGAGCTGAGAGCCGTCACCTGTCAGGGAGCAAACTCCCGATCCTAACAACCCATCCCTGAGGAGGAGGGATCTCATCAATGGTTTGTGCCTTAGCACTCAGCCACTGTATAGCATTTGCATGGAGCAGGCTGCCTTCAGCCCACAAAGCAGTCATTGTGACCAAGGTCTGGCTTTTTTTGCCTATGTCTCTTCAGGTTTCCTGGCAAGGCCCCAAAATACCAAAGGCAAGGTAGAGAGAGGCATAGAATCCCATAAGCAATCAACACAACCTATCAAGGACCATCACAGAAGAAACTTGTGTCTACACAGGGCTCATAACAGACATGCAAAAGCTCCTACCTGGGTCCTTGGTTGGGTCAAGGTATGTAGAGTTCATGTCTAGCGCATGGTTTGATCATGCAGGCAGAGGAAGCATAACTAGAGTTTGGGCACAGTTAAAAAGAACCTCCCCAATCAGGACCCCAGAGCTGTGCTGTGCAAGTGTGTAGCAGACCAGTGTTTGGAGAGGACACATCCTGAAAGAAGCCAAGGCCTAAAATGGATCTGCTCCCACACTCGACCTTGGCATTCGTGAAGGACCCTTAGTGCAGCTCAGTGCACTGCAGACCTGCTCTTTGACCCCCACCCAGCCTTCTAGGAAAATCTGGGAGCAGAGAGGCTCTGTGGGTAGTGGGACATGCATGCGGGGGCTCCATACTTGAGCTGGCGGGGCTCGCAGTCCAGGCCGGGTAGCAGCAGTCGGGCTGCCTGCCGGATGTCACCGCTGTCCACAGTGAGGCTGCGGCGATGCTCTGCATAGGTGATGGCCACACGCATCCACTCCATCAGTGGTGGCAGCAGCATGAAGGGCCTGTGAAGCAGCAGGGGTGTGGGGGGGTGATGTCAGGTCTGGGTGCAGTACTTCCTGAACACAGAAATGGGCCCCTCAGCATATGGTCTCAGAAAGCAGCCACAAAGGCTGGCCATTCTATAACCTCCTGGTTTCCCTTTACCATCAGGAGGAGACCTGGTCTTTGTGTTCACAGAGACCCTAGTTTTTTCTCTCATTCCATGGCAACTGTGTAATAGGTCCGGAGGAATTCCTATTATGGTGTTAGTAGGGTCCTCCAATGGCCCATGAAAGAAAGAGTCCCCAACATGTATAATTGGGACACCTGCCCATTCCAAAAATTCACCCGAGTGTTGAGTCTTCCAATCTGCAGAAGGGAGGGGGATCTTATGGGAGGTAGGACAGAGAAGGAAGAGTTCAATCAATCCAGGCCAGAAGCCCAGCTTTATACCAGTAGCTATAACCCCATCATTCTGCTAGGACACCCCATGCCCATCCACCTGCAGCCTGGGGTAGCCCCCATTTGCAAGGTTGGTATGCGGTAAATGAGGCAATGTGTGTCACCCTGTAGGGTGCCCATTGCTTCCTGGGTGGGAGTCCAGGCTGAGGTGGGCCGTACAGCTTCCCATACTGGGCCAGGGTTGCCCCAGCCTGGTGCTCACAGAGGAACATCAGTCTTGAGTCCTATGGGAAGAACAGTTTCTGGGGAGCCTGTATGACACCAAGAAACCCATGGCTGTGGTATAGGATGGTCAGAAGCTAACGGGCCACCAGTGAGGCCTGTGAATTGTAAACTACAGGGGGAATCTTTCAAAGGCACTCTACATGTCCCAGAAGGTATCCTTCGGTTAAACTGTTACAGTGCCCTTTGGTACTGGAGTGTTCCGCGAAGTTCCATGGGGCTTTTCCCAGTGACTAGCACCTCTAGACTCAGTTAAGGGAGTGAGATCCATTTACTGCTGAAGTTTTCCTCTTGTCCTCTGCCAGTTCTCCAGTTCTCCCTCCATAGCCCATAGCCATTTGCTAGGGCACTTAATGGTCTAATACATTTCATGGCCCCAACAGCCAGTCTTAGGCTTCAGGACTCAAAGGATACCAGCTTGCCGAACTTAGAATGTATGATCCTCTTCTCCTCTAGGCTACAAGGAGGATGTGGCCCTAGAATCCCCTCCTTCCTGCTTACTTTCTGATAACAGCCCTAAGGCCAGCTCCACTGCTGTCCATGTTTCCAGCCCTTCCCAATGTCTCATCTCTCTATTGTATTTTATTTTATTGTATTTTATTGTTTTGTCTTCTTGAGGCAGGGTCTTCCTGTAGCCCCAGCTGGGCTGAAACTCGCTATGTAGACCAGCCTGGACTTGAACTCACAAAGCTCCACCTGCCTCTGCCTCGACTAAAGGTTTGCCACCACACCCAGCTCTCTATTTTTTTTTTTTTTTGGTCTTTTTGAGACTTGGTCTCCCTGTAGCTCCAGCTGTCCTGGAACTCACTATGTACACCAGGCTGGCCTTGAACTCACAGAGATCTGCCTGCCTCTGCCTCCTGAGTGCTGGGATTAAAGGCATGCGCCACCATGCCCGGCTTCTCTACTGTATTTTTAAGTAACTGATTGATTGCTTAAAATTTGAGAACACTGTAGCCTAGGCTGGCCTGAAATTTGTGGCAGTTCTCTTACCTCAGCCTCCCTAGTACTGGGATTGTAGGCATGAACTGTTGTACCTGGCTTTTTCTTTTAGACAAGCCAGGTCGTAGGTACCAGTCCTCATTCACACTCTACTTCCACGGATACCCTGGGTTCTGATATCATGCCTATGCCATTACTCTCTGTTCCCTTGCACATGCCCCTAAGTTCTCCAATCAGGAGAAAGGCCCATGAGGAGACTGTCCTCAGTTACTATGTACACCAGTGGCAAATGCATGCTGGAGCCTGCCCTCATCACAGTTTTGGACATTCAAGAAGTTAGAAAGGCTATAAAACTTTCTTTTAGGGCAAAGAATTTTATTAAAACCCAAACCAACCCCAAACCAGACTAGTCAGATGTGACCCTGAAGTTAGTTCCTTGGGCAAGTTATTCTTACGTTCTAGTTCCATCCCTATAGAAACTTTATCTGGGTTTGGGTCACTTAACTGATTTACTGAGTATAAGGTTGTCACAGGCTTGTCATGCCTGTTTCTGGTCTTCTGAGCAGCCACAGCCTTAGCTGACTGTCTCCAGAATGCAGCAGACCAGCAGTGCTCAGGGGTCCCAAGCCACTCGCTCACTCCCATCCCCTCACAGAAATGGTCAGCTCTTACCTCTGTCTGGTTAGATTCTCATTATCCTTCAAGGTTCAATGCCAATGTCACCTCTTTCCAGAGACCTGTTAATACTCTAACACTCCCAGGACTCTGCTGGCCCAGAATGTGTCCCATTGTTCTGGCTGGCCTACTCCTCTATGGTCAGGAACAATACCTTTTCATCTCTGTTTTTCAAAATATGCCCAGCCAGCCTGGGGCCTGACATGACAGGTCTTTAATAAATGTTTGTTGACTGATATAACTATGGATTAGCATCTGTAACTTAGTATAACACATGCAAGCTTTCAGTTATGGACCAAGTCATATTTCTGCTCAGAAAAGAATGATGTCTAAGGTGAGTGTGATACCACACACCTGCAGTCCCAACACTTGAGGGGAGAGCACTTGAGGGGAGGAGGCAGGAAGATCAAGAGTTTAAGGTCATCCTTGGTTACAAAGTGAGTTTGAGACCAGCCTGGGCTATAGGAAATGTCTCAAAAGAAAAAAAAAAAGTATGTCTCACTTTCAAGGGCATGGTGTTGATTCATGAATAGGAAGTAGAACTTTATGGGGGAACTTGTATAATCTAGAAAGGAAAAAAAAACCCAGTCATGATTTCTCCCTGTTTGCAAGATCTCCCCTGATTTATACCATTTGAAATTCCCCAAATATCTGTGAGTTTTCCAATTCTTACATAACAAGGCTTGAAGCCAAGCACAGAGACACACTTCCATGTGTCAGAATGTGTAACCCATAGAGAAGGTTTTACTGAAATCATTAGCACTGGAGACTGATATATAAACAAAGACAGTTCATGGATCTTGAAGCCATTCTTCTCTAAGGTGGCTCAAAACACGACAAAGAGCCAAGTATGGCACTAAACCTCTTTTTGTGTGACAGGTCTCTCTACGTAGCCCAGGGTGGCTTCAAATTTGAGACCCTCCTGCCTCAGCTTCCTAAGTTCTAGGATTATAGGTATACATCATTATGCCTGGCTCCGCTAATAAAACCTCTAAGTGGGCATTTCCCAGTTCCTTGAAGGGCGGAGATCCAAGGGGAGTTCAGGAAATCACAAGTCCTAACCAGGTGGCATCCTTCACTCACTCCCCTACTTCATGCCTGCTAGAGCTCATTAGATGAGAGAATGCAGTAAGCATGGACTCGGCATGTGTACATGAGGAATGGCTCATCCAGCCTCCACTGTATCATCTTGATTAGAGACTGGAAGGTTGGAAACTACACTTCCCAGGCTTCTTTACATTGGGGTTCTAGATGCAAATTGAGTTTCACCACTAAGATCCTGCTTCATGAGATCCACGAGGCAGAGGCCATCTTCATGTCTCTCTTGCTTTTGTTAGCCAGCCAGGTAATGAAAGCATAGCCCTTTGTTTCCTCTTCTATAGACCAGTCTAGTGTCTTTTTATATTTTGCTTTTTATCGTTGGCCCTAATGGACGACCTGTGTTGTCTGTGGAGTTGTTTCTGGAAGCCTGGTCTAGACTCTGCTTCCTGAGTCCTTTCTGTGCTTTGATTAGTATCTAATTCCCTGTATTCAGTCCCTTTATGTTTAAAATATCTACAGTGGTTTGTTTCCAGAAATGAACACTGATTAATACTCTAGAAATCTCTTTCAGCTCTGGGTGGTGGTAAGTGCCCTGTCTCCACACAAAGCTGAGCCTATCCCCAAACCAACCCCTTCAGGCCAAGGATGGCTTTCCCAAACCCTTGGCCTGTTGTCCCCCCACAGGTAAAATGACAAGCAATCCATGGGCTTTCTCAGTTAAAGCTGATCTTGGGCTGGGAGTTCCAGGCTACTGCTTCCTTTCTGGTAATTTATCCTGCCCACTGTGCATGCTGAGAAGAAGAGGCCCAGACTACAGGATATTCTGGAAAACCCCTATGAAAACACCCATCTGCAGGGGCCACAGCTGTGTTATAACTCCAGAGTGGAAGGACCTGAAGGAGTAGAGCCAAGGGTAACTGAGGCATGTGTCTTCCTCAAGGCTGTTTCCTCCTTGTTGATTCTCAAGGCTGAATTTGGCCACAAGCCTTTCTGTGTTGGAACATGCATGGTTGTGGGGCCAGGACCAAGAGCCCAGGTCCAGGCTGAGGAAAGAAAGCCCTGCTGATCAGTCCAGGTCAGGGCCAAGGAGAGCCCTGCTGAGCAGCCCTTCTGCCTGCTGAGCAGCCCTCCATTGGCTCTGATACCTCAGAGTGGCCATTCTCTGATATTTTCTAGTCTCAAGACCCTTTTATATTTGTAAAAATTGTTGAAGACCTCAAATAACTCGTATTTGCCTTATTCTATGATATTGAATATCAAACAGTAAAACCAAGAAAATGCTAAAACATATGAATACACAAACATTCCATGAACTATCATAGTGACAATGTCATGTCACACAGTGTGGACATCAGTGAGAGAAATGAAACTGAAAAGCAAAAAATGTGCTCTTCTGAAAACAGACTTGACTCCTGGCAAGAGCCTTTGGGGCCCCAGGAGTTCCATGGTCAACACTCTTGAGGACTTTTGCATTAGAAGACCTTAGCATATACCTAAGGCAACATTGGTATGGGCTGGCAGGCAGCAGCAGGCATGGGGCTGGAACTCTGTCTCTGGTGGTTCATGGTCCTGTGAAACCTGGAGTGGCATAGGGCTTGCATGTATACTTCTGACCCAGGGACCTGAGGACTGTCCTGGGCAGTATCCTCACTGAGAGAAAGTTCTAGCTCTTTGTGGATAG